TCGCGGCCTGTCTCTATTTCTTCTTCATCCGCATAGCGAGCTCTCAGAGCCCTGCCCTATTATCCTCTTTGACTGCTTCCTAACTAGCGAAATGTAGTTTCGGGCTCTGTATCACCATCACACAACTTCTCTCCCATTGCGAGCCTGCCTGACTTGCATACCTTATATTCATTTAGCCTCTTGCATCCCAACCCATCCGTCTCCGCTGACTCTTTATTTACCTTCCCACCTCAACTGTACTACTTACTCTAAGTGTGCCGACTAATCCAGTCTCGTCTGATCGGTCCCCTGCTCTCCGAATTCATTCAGACTGCTGTGACGTTACCGGCATTGAATGAGAAGTGCGAACGCTCCGTCCCCATTACCTCTCGAGCCCCATGGACTTTTCCACACCTTATAAGTAAACCTCTCCCTATCCGGACCGTCTCATTATGACGTTCTCTACTTTCAAACCTTCTCTAATCGGACTGCTAACTATGTGCCCTGTAATAACCTAGTCTCATCTGACCGGTCTGCTTCTTTGACCCTTTCCAGACCAGCAACATTTAAACGGTCTAGACTCTGTAGACTCAAGCTATATCGCACTTACGTTGACAGCCTGCTAGACTTGTTCACCCTCTATTTATATAGTCACCTCCACCTCTCGACCCACTCCATTTGCCCTCCTAAAATTAGCTGTTGGACTCAATGTCGTCTCGCCGACTAATCCTGTCTCGTCTGTTTGGTCTCCCGCTTTCCAACTTCTCTCAGACTCCTGTGACATTACTAGCCATCGTTCAGATGACTGAGCGCCGTTCGTATCCAATCATTCTTCAATCGGACGATTGAGTCTCTGTCATCCGTCACTCAGCCTCAGCTGATTAGCCAAATTCTATGGGACCGCTACCAGGCTACCGGGATGTTAGCGGTCTAGGCTCCGTCGATCCAAAGCACTTCCTCCCTCACCTTGATATCCTGCTGAACTTGTCCGCCCTATGTTGATATAACCACTTTTATCTCTGACCAGTCCGATCCTACTGACTCCACTTACCTTCCCAAATGAACCAGAGGACTCAATCACAATGCGCCGACCAAGTCCAACCTTGGCAGATCGGTCCTCTTCTCTCCTACTTCTGCGACGCTGCCTGCTATGCTCGGAAGACTGAACGCTCCGTGCCCATTACCTCTCGAGCCCCGTGGACTTTTCCACACCTTATAAGTAAACCTCTCTCTATCCGGACCGTCTCCTCTCCTTATGACCCCTCTACTATCATTTCTTCTCTAATCGGACTGCCAACTCTTAGTGCCTTGTAATAACCTAGTCTCATCTGACCGGTATGCTCCTTTGACCTTTTCCAGACTAGCAAGATATACCGAGCTAATCTCTCTAGACTCACAACTATGTCTTGCTTACATTGACAGCACGCTAGACTTGTTTACCCTTTATTAATATAGGCACTTCCATCAGTAACCTGTACTCTCACATCTTCAATCGGATGACCGACGCTTAGTGCCATGCCCTTCTTTGTCATCATCTGATCAGTGTAATTTTCTGGGACTACTACGAGGCCTCCGGATGTGTCGACTTCTCGAGTCTCGTCTGTTTGGTCTCCGGCTTTTAGAGTTCTCTCAGATTACCGGGATATTACCGGTGCTATTTCAGCACTGAACGTTTCATACTTCGCACGAGAGCGTCCTTGGCTCACCACACTTAAGTAGTAAACCTTTTTCATCCTGACTATCGTCTCTTAATTGCTCTCATGAGTTACTCTTCGCACTGCCGTCCGCATTCTTCCGCTCACAGCTGATTCCTTAAATTTCCTTTTCTTCTTGGAACGTTGCTTTACCCATGTTGCTCCCGCATTCGGTCTCAACCTTGTTGTCCTTAGTTTCACCTAAGATGCCGCTCGCATTCTGTCTGCTGTCATCATCATCGGTTTACCTGTTAGTCTCCAATAATCATATTAATCGCTTAACGTTGTCTACACGCTTTGTTATACCCTTCTTTCTACCTAGTAGTTGTAGTCTGAGGCACACCAGCGACGTGATGTAAAGAATGCGCTTGCAAATCATGTATACTAAACAAAATTACATAAATTTTAATGTATCATAGGCACCGTTGCGCGCCACCAGTCTGTGTTTGTGCTTCTTGCTTCGTTGCTGTCTTTCTGTTTGGCTGCCTCTTGTCCGTTGCTCGTTTTCTCTCGAGATTTCCACAGATACGTCCGCCAAAACAAGAAAGTTTATCCACTGGGAATCGTCGACCCACTTTCAATAGCCAGCTGGATTACATGCCTGTTCTTTACTCCGGGAGATGAAGAACCCACACATCGTTCCAAATGGAGCTCTTTCCGCCATTCTGGAGAAGCTACCACCACGGGGTCTAAACAAATGGGTTTAGCTCGCCTCGTACTCACAGTAGAACAACTTACTCACCTGGAATAATGTAGTTACATGGATCCACTGTTCCACAACCGGAGACTGACAATTCTGGCGTGATTACATTCACTGCCTCAAACATTCCGATTCTCCAGTCACCTGGAGCTTTCCTGATGTCATTTCACGGACAGCACTGCGCGCGCATAAGCGGCTTTTCCGATGATTTTTCCTGGAGCTCTCACTTGGTTATGGAGACAATTACACTTACATTTGAAGGAAATACTTGTCCACTTCGCGGAGAATAGCATTTATTCCTGTTTTGGACATATTCAGACACAAGAAACAACTGCACTCACCGTCCCTATGACAAGTCCAGCATGGATAGCTGGACACGGGTTGCGAGCCGGACAATATAATAGAAAAAGCCGGCCTCTATTAACAATGTGGTTACTCACCCGCATCATTATCATTCGACTCAGCGACTCTTTTACATCATTGACTGGCTTCAACGACTATTGCCGGTTCAGTACTAAGCCATTTGGCCAACCAACGAAAAATTTTGGCTGTCTACCGACTGCGAATAATAGAGTGCAAAATCGGTCTATACGATGTATAGCCGACTAGCACTACAGTTCAACGGAAGCTACGACAGTGTTCCAGGACGTGGTGGGTTTTCGCCTGGCAAGCGTTCTCCCTATAAAAAGCCACAAATGTCCGCTTAACAACACTGCAACGTGGCGGATGTGACTCGCCACAAAATAAAGTCACTGCTATACCTTTCACACTGACGCAGTCCTCAGCCTCCAACATCGAACCTGTGCAACTGATTTTACTTTGAAGAATGCTTTAGTGGAGTACCGATCATCCCGGCTTCGTAATGGTCATTGATTGCACTAAACCTTGTTCGGGCTCCTGTGCTCATGGATCACTACATGTCAAATTTACCCCCCACTTGTATCTTGACGCAACAGTTTTTGCGCGCCACGGCGCCATTATGATCCTTGGTCTGACTATTACCTGACAATATGCTCGCTCTTATGGACTACATATTTTCGTTTATTCCTTTCATTGTAACGAAATGTTCTAATATTCCAAAGAAGCTGTGCTTGTATGCATATTTGATCATGCCTTTTAGAGGTGTGTCTCGTTTTACAGAGAATATACTATTTATTTATTTATTTATTTATTTACTAAGTCCCTTAGTGATCTTAAACGTCTCTATCAAATCCGACGCTTTCGACTTTGCTAAGACTCATCAGGCAGAGATAGCCGAGCTGGGTGTGACGCTCCCAGTGATCGTATTGGCAGAGGATGACTTTAACTTCAACCGGCGCCATGAGTGAGATTGCTCGTCGCAATTCAAGGCAAACAACAGTTGCTCCAAAACCCGAACATCTGCTTCTAACCGCTTTGTCAAACACCGCTGGCGGAGCTCAATGTCCTAGTGGTCATGGTTGTAGCCGCCAGGCACTATGCGCCCTGTTCCACTCCTAGCTGGGCCAACACTACCTGCTGAGTATAAACAAAGAAGAAACCTCGGTCGTGGAGAGCAGGGGTGGGAGTGAACCACTCCTTCCACTTCAGTGACGGTCCCAGTGACCGTATTGTCAGTTGACTTTAAAGTTAAAGGACGCCACGAATAAGAGTGCGCCTCGAAATCCAAGACAAAAGGCTGGTGCTTCAAAACCGGGAAATATGCTTCCACTTAGTTTCCACAATGTCACTATCATGAAGCAAAGCAGACTGGAGAACCCCCTGTCGATACGCAAATCCGCGACCTTGACCACTTTGTGTAGTCCTCTCAACCCAGGAGGAACACAAGCGTTAATACTCTTTGCGTTCAAACCTAACTTAGCAGTGTCCTCGTTCAGCCCCAACCCCCATAGGCAGATCGACTAAAGTTAAAGGAGGAAATCAAAAGACTTAAGCGCAGGCGGGCGGCTGGTGAGCGTGGCCTTTGTCTTGTTTTCAGTTTATATGCCTGAAGTCAAATTCTGCCCTACCAGAACCCCTGTTAGCGTACGAGACAGGGCTTGTCGTGCTAATTTTCTTCGGGTAGTGCTTAGCAATGTAAGTAGCCTAGGGAACAAGTTACACGAGGTGGGTCTACTTGTAGAGAAACCTCGTCCCGACATACTTGCTTTCACTGCAAAGTGGTTGTCCGGGCATAGCACAGACGTTGAAGTATGTTTAGCTGGCTACGCACTGCTTAGGTATGGTCGCTCCGTTGACCGCCAAGGGGTGCGCCGCTCTTTATATGACCAGTAAACAGGTTGTGGTAAGAATCTGTGTATTTAAGTAGCCGGATCAAAACCTTGGAGCCCTTTCAACTATTGTATGCACTTCTTGTGCTCAGTTTACAGTTGTAGTGGTGTATTGAAGTCCTGGAAGTATCTCTAGTGAGCTTATAAATTTTATTCTTACACAGGCTGCAAATAGATGTCTACTACTGGGTGAATTCAACCCCTCTGAAGCCTGCTGAGCTAATCGCACTTGTAGTTACGCAGTGGGCACTTTCTGTTTGGATCCCCTCGATAACGTTGCAATTGCCTTTGCATCCGTTCGTAGACCTTCCGAGTAGATTTATGAACAACCAGCTTCCGTCCACCTTGGTGCACATTTTTGTATACAAAAGACCATCTGGTGAGCAAATGCTTTCAATGATTCATCGTCAGACCATTACAATCATATAGAGGCTAGAAAGAGAAATCGACCCAGTTAGTTCAAAACGAATTGATCACGTGAAGGTCAATGTCAGAGTGGAAAAAACGAATTAGGTCTTAGAGGGCTAGATGTTCGCTACCGCGTCTGACCGAAGGCAGTCGACCTGGGCGTCTTCCATCTTCGCTGGCCAGGGAAGCTGGAGAGCCTGGACCAGCTTCTTCTGTGAGCATAAGGACGGCTGGAACAATCGAATGCATATTGCTTCAGCTGTCGCAAGCATACGAAGGCGGTAACCTTTCGTTCGGTGCGGTGGAACCTTGTAAACTATTCGGAAAGCGCGTTTCCAATCCACTTCATGGCCGGTGTCCACAATGTGGGCCAGAATGGCGCTACTAATGATTCCGATGCCCCCTTGACGAAGCCAGCGAGGGCAATGTTCGTTCACGCGTTTCGATAACTGCCGCGCCGTTCGACCAATATACGTCGCGCCACAGGCGCACACGAATTGATAAATCACCATTGATGTGGTCAGCATCGGCAGCTTGTCCTTGTTTTGTGAACGAATGAGTGGTTCCGTTGAGAACACGCACTTCAACGAGGCTGCTGGAAAGGTCGACTTTACCGCGGCCGAAAGGCTTCTGGTTAGACGCTCGGTAGCCGCGTCCCCTTTAAATGGTAAGCGAATAAATAACTCTTTCTTTGGCGCTGTTAACACTGCCACTGGTTTCGGTTTTTCTAGGAGGTTCCTTAGGATAAATCTATCGGGATAACCGTTTTCACGTAGAGTGTTCTGTATGAACATTAACTCCGCGTCTAGGGTGTCTTCCGTACAGATTCGACGTGCTCTTGACGTAAGACAGTGAACCAAGTTGCGTTTGTATCTCATGGGGACGAAACTGTAAAAATTCGTGTACTGACCTATCCACGTTGGTTTTCTGTAGACCTGACGCTGGATGGATCCATCTGGTCTCCTTGTTAACAAGACATCGAGATATGGTAGCCGGTTATCGCTTTCCTTCTCGTAAGTAAACTGCACTGCTGCATGCACCCGGTTGAAGTGGTCAAGAATTTCCTCCAGATTAACATGTTTATCCACCACAACAAATATATCGTCCATGTATCGATGATAGCGGTCAAAAAGGTCTATCGCCGCCCGCATTTCGTTCCTCTCCAGCTTTGCCATGAAGATATCCGCTAATAGCGGTCCGAGAGGGGATCCCATGGCCACGCCGTCCTTCTGCCGGTAGTATTTCCCGTTAAATAGAAACTGAACATTCCAGGTGCAGCGTAACAGTAGGCTCTTAAGCTCACGCGTAGGTATACACATTTTTATTCCTGACTCGGCTATATAGTCGCAAATGTAATCGATCGTCTCAAGCAATGGGACGTTTGTAAAAAGTGAGACGACATCGAAAGATAACATTAATTTCTCATTGATGTTATCATCTTTGATGCTTTCGACGAAATGGAAGCTGTCACGAAGACTGTAGATAGCGAGCTGTTGTCGCACAGGTTCAAGAAGTTCTACAAGCCACTGAGCAACGGCATGGTACGGCGAGTTAACCATTGATAAAATAGGACGAAGTGGGATGTTAGGTTTGTGGATTTTTGGTAACCCGTAAAGTCTTGGGACGCTTGTGCCACTCGGTTTAAGGCTGTCATACAGAGCATCCGAAATGTACCCCTTGGTCCGGAGTTCTTGCAAGCTCTTAGTTATCTGTGTTTCAACTTGTTCAGTTCGGTCCCTTTCTCCTTCAATACACGCAAACTTTGTCTCATCGCTCAGTATTGCTGTTAGTTTATCTATGTAATCTTTTCGATCGAGTAACACGATTCCTGCACCTTTATCCGGCTTGCATAGGACGATTTCCTCATTGCGCTTTAGTTCTTTCAGCGCATCTAGATGCCTTCTTGTTAGTGGGCCATGATTACGGACGCGGAGTTTACGATACTGGTAGCAACAATTCACTAAATAGCACTTGAAACGTTCAAGATCCGTATTCGATTTAGCGACTAATCCTTTCGTCTGATCATATAAGCTTTCAAATTGTAATTCACACTCAAGCCGGTTATCCCTGCGTCTAGGAGCGCAAAACTTTAAGCCAAGCGATAGAACTTCAATCAAAGTTGTGTCCAAGTTCAAACTAGAAAAGTTGTGTACATACCTGTCTGGCCTGTTTGGAAACGTGGCTTGCGGCTTAAGCTGGCTCAGCGACTTTGCTAAAGAAGAACGCCTCCGCTGTACACGGTTGCTAGTGATAAGCTGAACATAGTCCAGAAACATTTTCTTTTCTTCAGCAGCTAACTCATCCGTTGCTGTGTGGCGTTGTGCTAGATTTCTTTCGTATTCAGCAATCTTGGACTGCACGGTATCACGTTGGTTTAGTGCATGTCGTCTAAGCGTCTTGCTATTGGGATAGATCCGATCACGGCGTAATTGTTTCCAAAATCTGGTCGGATATTCATTATGCTCTACGCAATCATTGAAGAACTGAACACAGCATTTGGCTTCAGCAAGCTTAGTGGTGAACTTAAGGAACTGATTGAGCTCCTTCACCACTAATGGGGGCTTGGATGATTTAAGTAACTTGAAAATTCCCATTTAAGTCTCTAGAACAAAAGACCATCTGGTGAGCAAATGCTTTCAATGATTCATCGTCAGACCATTACAATCATATAGAGGCTAGAAAGAGAAATCGACCCAGTTAGTTCAAAACGAATTGATCACGTGAAGGTCAATGTCAGAGTGGAAAAAAACGAATTAGGTCTTAGAGGGCTAGATGTTCGCTACCGCGTCTGACCGAAGGCAGTCGACCTGGGCGTCTTCCATCTTCGCTGGCCAGGGAAGCTGGAGAGCCTGGACCAGCTTCTTCTGTGAGCATAAGGACGGCTGGAACAATCGAATGCATATTGCTTCAGCTGTCGCAAGCATACGAAGGCGGTAACCTTTCGTTCGGTGCGGTGGAACCTTGTAAACTATTCGGAAAGCGCGTTTCCAATCCACTTCATGGCCGGTGTCCACAATGTGGGCCAGAATGGCGCTACTAATGGTTCCGATGCCCCCTTGACGAAGCCAGCGAGGGCAATGTTCGTTCACGCGTTTCGATAACTGCCGCGCCGTTCGACCAATATACGTCGCGCCACATCAATGGTGATTTATCAATTCGTGTGCGCCTGTGGCGCGACGTATATTGGTCGAACGGCGCGGCAGTTATCGAAACGCGTGAACGAACATTGCCCTCGCTGGCTTCGTCAAGGGGGCATCGGAACCATTAGTAGCGCCATTCTGGCCCACATTGTGGACACCGACCATGAAGTGGATTGGAAACGCACTTTCCGAATAGTTTACAAGGTTCCACCGCACCGAACGAAAGGTTACCGCCTTCGTATGCTTGCGACAGCTGAAGCAATATGCATTCGATTGTTCCAGCCGTCCTTATGCTCACAGAAGAAGCTGGTCCAGGCTCTCCAGCTTCCCTGGCCAGTGAAGATGGAAGACGCCCAGGTCGACTGCCTTCGGTCAGACGCGGTAGCGAACATCTAGCCCTCTAAGACCTAATTCGTTTTTTCCACTCTGACATTGACCTTCACGTGATCAATTCGTTTTGAGCTAACTGGGTCGATTTCTCTTTCTAGCCTCTATATGATTGTAATGGTCTGACGATGAATCATTGAAAGCATTTGCTCACCTGATGGTCTTTTGTTCTAGAGACTTAAATGGGAATTTTCAAGTTATTTTTATATACGGCTGTTCTCTAGGAGCCAGTGACCATGTCTGAATATCTCTTCCATTTGCTCTTACAAAGTGTCTTCATGCTGCCACTGAGGCATGTCCAAATATTTTTTGGGAAGGTTTTAACGCAACGCGATACAAAGCTTCAGTTCTGCGTTACGCGATCACCTTGGCTGACACGTTTGAGACAGTCTGGAAAAATATAAGTGACACTTTACCAAACTTTGCTCCACACATCCACTCAGTAAAAGAAGGGAGACAGGCGCATCCCATTTGGATACATTGTACAGGTAAATACCTTTACAGGAAGCGTTCGAATTGATGGCGAACTTACCAAGCGGCTTCATCAACCAGCACCTACGAATGATTTCGAGCGGTTAGAAATAAATGTAAGCAACCTCTTAGGATTGCCCATATTCAGTACGAAAGGGACTTGGCTGACGCAACCGTAACAAATCCAAATTCTGCTTACTTAAAGAGGCGCAGCGGTACAAACTCCTCTATAACAGCTTTACTGCAAGCGGACGGAACTCGTGTGCATACGAATATGATAAGCCCCGTATACTTAACAAACAGTACACTGGTATCTTTTCTCTTGAGACCTCTCTACCTCCGCTTGAGCTGGTCACAAGTGTCCCGGAGGATCCTTGACTACCTGAAATCAACCTAACGAAGCAAAACTTCTTTGGACTATTGCATGGGCTATATCCCACTAAAGCTTCTGACCCTGCTATAACTCATCCGCAGGTGATGCATGAATTGACCGCCAAGCTGTGGCTTTCCCGCAAGCGTGTCGACAATATCGTTTGACAGCTGTGCCTTGCCTTCAGAATTGAAGGAAGCAATCATTTGTACTATATTTAGAGGCGGCGGCAGCGCTCCGCCCGCGGACTATCGTATTGTCAGCTTAAAGAGATTAGTAGTTAAGTTGTCTGAAAAACCCATGCTGTAATCAAATGCGTAAGACATGGCGTTTCATTCCGCATTTCCCTAGCTGCAGCAGTGTGGAATTTATTAACATACTTATATATCACACTACACACGGCATTATAACAGTTACCAAGTTATTCAGCTGGTTTCTCTCTAAGACGCAGGAAGCTTATCAAATAAAAGCCTGTCTTTAATGCTTACCTACATTTTTCGTGCCGTCAACGTAAACATCACATCATATCACTTCCCTCCAAGCCGATTAAGAATATTCAAATCCTGTACAGCATTGCGTAGCTCTCACAGCTTCCATTTATCAGTGTTTCCTCTCGCTATATCTTCCAGTTCAGAATACATCATCAATTATTCACGCAGAGACGGCTGCTGTCATGGCAACGATGATTTCGTATTTCGTGGCTACCTCATTCGACCTTCGGTCGCTTATTTCAACACATACATGCTTTAACGTTTAACATCACATTATGGCATTATTGCTCATCTATTCGTAATTTCCTTTCCATGTTCACACGCCAACGTTTTTCATACCACTCCTCTTATTTGCCAGTGCCGGATGTACCCTTGTTCTGTTATTTATTATTTCTTGCATCGACCGTTGTGGAGAACGTTCCCGATGAACAACAGCCCGTATTCAAAATCGCGCCAGTGGCGGGCTGGACGGTCCCGCAAGGAAAGCAGCGGTATCGTCGGCAGCCACGACAGCGACTGAACTCAGTGTCAAGGTCGCGGCGTGCTTGTCGTGTTGCACCGATCGAGAATTGCTTTACTGAAATCCTTGTTTGCTAACAGTAGTTGAATAACTCTACGTGGAAATTTGGCTTCGTCAGTTTTCTTGTAATCCGAAAGTACTTGGAAGTGCTAACATACTCGGAATCTCTTGTGCGCCTACCTTTGTCACGACGGGGTTGTCGTGTTTCTCCGCTTGAGTTTTCCTTCTCGGAAGCCTTTTGTAGAAACAGTGTTGAATAACTCTGAGCATAAACTGCCAGCGTATCAGCGTTTAAGGATCTTAAAGTGTTTACCTATTGTTCTCGGATTTCTCCTCGAAATATTGGCCTCTGTTTGAAGACTTCAACGTACAAGATTCCGGCCTTTGTCGATATCTCATCGATCGAGTACAAATAGGGTTGATATTCGACCGCTCGAAGGTAATCAGTCTCTTGCTCCTGCAGTCTTTCCCAGTTCCATCGGAGAACAGCTTTCGGTGTTTATTCTACAGAAAAGCCTGGTTTGGTCATCGTTGCTACTTTTATTTTACTAATGGGCCCAGTTCTGTGCAAACGAATCACTCCGGGTTCTATCTGTTTGCTGCTTACGTTGTCTGCATTGTAGCCTACCGTACTTTGGTTCACGTTCCTATTATCTGTTAAAGTTTTTCATCTTTCGTAATGGTAAAGATATCCGGATCCAAGTCCTCCTCGGCCCCATAAACCGATTCGTCAGCTGTTTGTGGTAAAGCGAATTGCTCAGAACCAGTTACTGGTTCTTCTGTGGGCATGCGATGTGACCTCTGCAGTTCTTGTTTCCATGAGGCTTGCACTGTTTTGGATAGACAGCAGTATAGCCTCCTACAAAACAGCGATAATTTACCTCATAATTGCCTTGGTTGTGTGAGACACAAAGCATTTCGTCTAGTCCCAAATGACGAATTTGAAACTTTGCTAAATAGAGTGGGTGCCCTTCTATCTTTGTGTAGTTCTCTAGAGGGGAAGGTTGATCAAACCGCCGTAAGCCTTGAACGTGCAGGCCTTCTCAGAACAAGCGTGCGTTCAGACGATTACATAATAATACGGCTTCGAAGGATTCACCAACTCTTGAGGCGGCGCCTGAAGATGGTAAACATCCTGACGTTATATTTAACTCAGTTGTGAGTGTGGAAGTTGTACCGACCAGTGTATTTGCGAAGGCAAAGCGACGCAAGATAAAGAAATCCATCAGTGCAACCAAACCTAAGCTGAGAGATGTAACAGTAGGCTCTGTCGATACTCCGTCCCCGGAAACGAAGGCAGAAAACCCTTCCACCTCATGGCCGAAATCCTTCTCCTGTGCACCTGCTGTTCCTACTTAGGAGGATATGAACTCAAGCGCTGCGCCGGCCACTGCTACGGTGACGCGTGCCGTAAACACCCCTCGTCGTAGTGATGCATTTACGGACAGCAGCGCTATCTTCAAGAATATCTCGGAGCCCTCTGCGACTCTACCGAGAGATCCCATGCTTGACGACCTTCATTGGTTCTAACTTTGCGGTTCTAAACTACTCCCACCAGGGTTTCCTTGGGTTACTGTTAGAAAACTTACTAGGCTTGGAAACATATCAGGTGATAGTACTAAACGTAGACCCCGTCTATTACGCGTGGTTCTGTCTACAACGGAGGAGCGCCAAGCTCTGTTGCGCTTCGCCGTAAAACTGAAGGGTTCCGGAGTAAGTATGCAGCCGGATCTACCTTTAGCAGATAGGATAAAGCTTAAGAAAGCCATCAAAAACCTTTAAGCGCGTCGCGAAGCTGACGAGAGAGGTTTATGTTTGGTGGTTTTTCGGGTGGTGAGCCGACGGCCCACTTCCGCCCTACCAGAGCCCATTCTGGTAGCACATGACTCAGGGCTCTGCGTACCAAACTTTTTTCCATAGTTCTTAGTAATGTGCGTAGCTCATCCTGAAGTACTCGCGTTCATTGAAACCTGGTTATCTTCTGACGTCATGGACAGTGAATTATATGTTCCTGGCTACGCAACACTAAGATCTGACTGCCCATCTGATCGCCGCGGCGGTGGTGTCGTCTTGTATATCAGGTGTGGTGTAAACATATCCAAAACACATACCTTTGACTCAGCCGCTAATACTGTTGAAGCCCTTGCAGTTGAAGTCTGTACCGAATCAACGCAATTTAAATTGTGCTGCTGTATAGGAGCCCTGATGGCGCTTCTAGGAGTTTCATTGACTTCATCCGCACTCACTGCGAACAGATGCGTGATGATGGGGAATTTCAACTTCCCTGAAGTAAATTGGCATGACCTGTCTTATGAGGCAGCGACAACGGGGTTGGCTGCAGAGCTTGTTGACTTGACACTGGAAGTATCCTTACACTAATTTGTCGATCGGCCTACCAGATACATGTTGGGTCATGCTCCTTCTCTGTTGGACCTAGTTTTCGCAAAATCGGTTGACTTTGTGAGTGACCATGAGTATGGTCAACATTTGG